TGATTTTTCTGTAATTTTGGTAGCAACTCAAACCCGGATCGCTTTGCCGTCGGACTCCGACACCCAGTCCCTCCGGTTGCTGCATCTGGCGCCACCTATGAGCGCCTCCTCGTACTACCGGGACGTAGGGGAGCGGGGGCCATATCGACGTGTGTGGTCCGCGAGGTGAGCGACTCGCCTGCTCACGAGCGCCGCGTAACAAACCTCTATGGAGATGCCGACAAGAGCAGCGCGCTACGTCTTCTTTCTTTCTCTCGGGAATTATCTCGCGGAATAGGCGGCATCTCATTATGCGGTTTAAGTGCACACCACTTTGTTAAGGATGTCATTATTATCGTTATCGACGGGGTTATTGCGGATATTTCTTTGCCAGCGATCGCCTTAATGCGTATTGACAATGAAGTGATGGCCGCTATTAAGGCTTCGCCAGTGGCGGGGTGCGGCGGCGGCGGCGGGGACGCAGGTGGGAGACGTAAATTATTACGACGATTTTGTCGATGGGATACTTTTTTTGAAAAAATGTAGAAATTATGCAGTTGTTTTAGGGTTCTTAGGAGGATTTTTGGAGCTGTTGGAGAGGGGGTAAAACTTCTTTTGAAATTTACTAGAAATTCGTCACAATTCATGGAAAGTCTGTTGTGCAAAAATTATAATTTTATTCTGGCGAAAGTTATGTTTGTTGTTAAAGAATACTGAATGACATTATTGCAAAATTAAGGATACATCTTAAATAAATTCAGATATTATGTCACATAACCTCAATGTGAAATTTGACGTTATAAACGTCAAAATCAAGTGACGTTTGAATGCTAAATAGAGAAATTTATAAATGTTATTATACTGTTATATATCTTTATTTCAATTTATAAGGGTGATCATAAAAAATAAAATTCACAAAATCAAATCTTATTATTTTTCAAAAAATCTGGATTTATCTATTTACCTTGGACCAATGTTTTCATATGTATCGTCTTTTCATTTTCTTTAATTTTTCAATGTTTTAAATGGAAAATTGAGAATTGACATTATTTCAAATTTTTTCAAAAATTAGCCAGTAACAGTGAGATTCTTTAAATTCTGTCAAAAATTTTCATTCAAATTCTTTTAGAACACAAAAATAAAACACCGGGGGTTTTCAAGATTTTATCCATTTTTATCAAAAACAACATGTCAAAATTATTTTAAAATGATTGAAGTTCGTGAGACAGAAAAACTTATTTTTATAGAAAAATTTCTCATACTTCTAATTAACAACAGCCCTAGAAATGTGTACTCTACCTACTTTAGAAGGCCAAAATTGTTCAACTCAAAAAGGACAAATTTTTCTATCCCCCAAACCGCCTCCTCTCCTCCCCCAACCCCGCTTTCCCACTTCCCGCAGGCCAGATCGCCGCCCCCACATCTGCATGCAAATTATCGGCCTTCGGCCGCCGCCCTCCGCCCCCGTCAAACACAATCGGCCGCATTATCCCCCCGAATTTGCAGGAGGTTTTAAAACCGTTTACACAATAACCTGCAAAATTAGAGCATCCGATGGCCGCCGCCGCCGCCGCCTCGGTCTTTCCGTTTGCGTCGTATATTTTCATCCGTATCTCTTTCATGGCGAGCGGTGCTACGTATGGCCGGAGATAAGGCACGATCCTGCCGTTGCGGCCAAGATGACTGCCGGTTCGAAGGCTCGCCGCCCCGCGCCGCCCTTCGCCGCCGCCGGCGCTCGTGCACGCCGCGCCGATAAACTGTCGACGATCGCTCGCAACGGGTTTATTGCTGTTAAGTAGTATTTTGACAAGGCTTATTACGGCCTGGACGACCGTAATTGACTCGAGACCGTCACATCCATCCGGTTATTGCGTCTTGGGGTAACGAGGGAAAATCGTACGCCGAATCGGAAATTGGATAATTGGGGCCGGGTGAGGTGTCAAGGTGGTGTGGCTTACGGGAGGTGTTGGGGTTTTTTTGGAGGAGAGGAGGGAGAGGGGGAATAAAAGAAGAGAGAGAGCCGAGAGCTTGAAGCGCGGTTACGGTTGGTTCACGCAGTGGCGGAGGAGGTTGTCGGAATCCGGCGGCTTTGGAAAAATGTTTCTGTGCAAGGCAGTCGATGATGGGCAATTCAAGAACTCATGTTTGTAAATCGTTTCTTGATAGTTTAAACTGGAAAGCTGTGCTGGTGTGAATACTCTGGCGCTTAATTTGCGGTTGTAAAGAGCGAAGTGAAAACATTTAAGTTAATGTCTTCGAATATGTACATATGCATGATGAACTTGGGTTTTGTGTAATACGTCACTAAGAAGTTTATAAACCTTTACGTTTTAGAGTTCGTTGAATATGGTTGTTGTTCCTCTTTGAATCTCTTTTATAGGTAGTTTTGAGGACGTGTGCTTACATCATTGTCGACGATTTAGTTTTTGTTCGTAAAATAGTATGCACAGTAAGGTAACGGATTTAATGAGTGCGCAGGAACCTTTTGTGTCCTCAACGTAACAGTAGTAAAACACGCACTCAAAAGGCAAATCAAAGAATAAAAAATTTTAAAGAATATTAAATGCTGCCGGTTTGAAAACATTTTAGGAGCCTCTGGTGTTTTCGTTTTTAAAGAATTTGAAACAATCCATGTGTGTCGGTGTTTTTTGGACGAAACCCTGGTGTCCTGGTGTGTTGGTTTAGAAAGAATTATGGAAAGCACTTTGGGCGTCTCTGGTATTTTGTTTTAGGAAAAATTTGAAAGTATCCTGAAGGCTTCCAATGTTTCGGTTTTAAAGCAATCCGAAACAATCTAGGAGAGGCCTCTGGTGTATTGTTTTGGAAAAAATTTCATTTTGGGTGCCCCTGGTGTCTTCCTTTTCATAAAATTTTATAGAATCTTGAGGGCTCCGTGTGTAGAAACAATTTTGAAACAATTTTGGGAACTCCTGGTGTATTATTTTAGGAAGAAGTCGAAAATATTTTGTCACCACTGGTGATTTGGTGTTGAAAGAGTTTGAAAGAATTTTGGGACAATTGATGTTGTGATTTTAACAAGAAGTATTTGTTAGAGCATCAGATAAGGTAGATTTGATGATAAATCACAGTAAAACCAAATAGGTACATGTTCTGAAATGATCAGAATTTTAAAAGAAATAAAAAATATACAATTATAACAGAAGATGGAATGCCTTTTGCTTTGAAAAGAGTGGAAACATTTAAATCGTGAGAAATAGTATCCAGTATGAAAAACTCACATAAAAGCAGGGGCGGCTGGTGCCAGGGGGCGCAAGAGCACGTGCCCTCCAAAATTGCAACGTCTGCAAATGCACTGGACATAGCAAAATAGTAATTTTCAATAATTTAAAAAAATATCTGGTAATTTGTATCATCATTATCAAAACTAATGTCTTATCTCGCTCCATTTGTATAAAATGTATCAAAACTTACATCTAAAGATGTTATGTCTTGGATATATGATACGTTGCTGAAGTGCTGATAAAAGCGGAAACTAAATCGTACCTCATTTAGACGTTTTGTTTACACCGTTGCCATGGAAACCGTGCGTCTAGTCGTTGTATTCAGCTGGAATTGGGTTCTGCTCGAACAGCGACTACTACCCGAGTGAAGTTGAACTTTTTTAATTTTCTTGAATGTATTTTTGTATTTAGTTCCATCATACAATTTCGTCTATCAATTGCCTGTTTTATATCTTCATACATATTTAACTCATCAACAAAATTGTGTTCCCCCATTTCAAAAGGTCACGAGCAGCCACTGCATGAAAGAAAATGGAATGAATGTGCAAGTTAATGAAAAATAAACGTTGAAGGAACGTGTGGAAAAATGCGTAGGAAGTGTAGACATTACCCAATGACAACAGAAAATTAGAAATAAGGAAGAATTGGGACGACGTATTTTTCAAGCCATGGCCTAGACCTAATGCTAAAGACAATAATAATAAGACAAATGTATTATTTTGCATATTTTAGAGAGGTAGACATATAACAAACACTCGAAAACTGGAGATCTACTTTTCCATATTCTAGGAGCCATGAAACGTCGAGGAAATATGACATCAACAATTCGTCAAATGCACTCTGTTATAACTTCGAAGTCAACCTGGGGAGGAAAAAAAAACTGTGATGGGCTACGAAGGCTACCGTTTCACTGTGACGCTCTCTTTCCGAAAAACTTGCAAATAATCGTGAATCTGTACTTGACAGTTCACGCAGCGACCCCCGGCCTGCGGATTTGTTGGGAGCGGCCGTGGTCGATATCTCAAGCAATTGACCTTTTAACGACCCATCCATCCATCACCCAATAACCGAGCGCGATTATCTCGAATTGAATTACTTTCGGACGAAATCAACACCCAGCATTGTAGAGTCGCATACGTCAACATTCCATTAGCGCACGTAAATTGTCGTCAATAAATCAATCAAAAAGCACAGCGTTTAACGGACGCTGCCACCGTGCGAGTACGTCGATAAGCGCTCCCGATATATTTATTCGATAAATTACCATTTGCGATTGATTTATCGCATCAGCAATGTTTAAATAATTTTGCGTTTGCGATTATATAAAAGTCGGCTGCGATTGAAAGATCAACAAGTTTCGGTCTAGGCGGACCATGATGGCGCTGGGCTCGTCGACAATGGTACTGTTTGACAGGTGCCACTTGCTTGTCACTCGTGATTGCCTCGTACATAACCCCATCATGGGTCGCTTGATTAACTCAAGGTCGCTAACCCGACCGCCGATATGTTTGTTCGTGCACGTGACGTCCTATTTCAATCAATCATGTCTCGCCTGCTGCATGCTGCAGGATGGCCTTTTAAGGGGCACTGACGAGGCAATACTCGGTCGGGATGAGCAACGACGGGGGCTTTCGCCACTAGCGAAACATTCGAACCGTCGGGGATTCGTAGGGAGAAAAATTGAGGAGGTCCAGGATTGAATAATTTTTATTACAATGGAAAAGGTGTTCCAGTGGATTTATTGCACCCCACTATGACGAACTCGAAAGGAAACCCCGTTATCGAGAATTACTGACCAGCACTGGATTAAAAATCGTTTTCTTCTGAAAATTTTGACGCCACTTGGAACAATCGCGCATAAAAACTCTTCCACCTGAAAGTCATTTGTCCACAATTAATAAAATTAGTTCGAGTCGATATGTTGTAGTGGAAATATTAGCCGTATCAAAAAAGCATTTAAATATACGTCAGTCCATTTTATTTCTTGCATCGTCTTGTTGATTATTCTCAGAACCTGAGGATATTATGAAAACGAAGAAAAAGGCAGAGCAATCTCCGAGCCAACAAAAAGTGACAGCTGACGTCTGAAAAAAATACGGCGAATTATAAATTTAAATCACTCCTAACAGCATCAATTAATCCAACACACATATCTCGGCGTTCCATCTTCCGTGTTAATTGTAAATCACACAAGCTCCGGTTAAAGTGTTAATTAAGAAACTATATTAACTAAGCATGATGGAAGGCCAATAGCTAATTGTTGGCGAGCGAGGCGCTATTGAAAACTTGTTAAGTAGCCGGTCGTGCTTGAAGTGGGACTGGTTTATTTTTGTTATGAATGTGTAAAAATCCCCACACATTACACCGGTCATTGTTTTCATCGCGCTGTGGGTAACACCAGTGGCGGCGTTGGTTGAAACACCCCGATCCTGTCCGTATGGTAACCAACCCGGCGTTCGCCGCATGCGCCGCCTCTGGTCCACGCTACACCATAATTAGATGTATAACATAAAGGAGCGAGATGATAGGTAAGAGATAGCTAGTTCCCGACCGGCTTAATTCGGCGAGCTCGAAAGGAGGCATCGGAACAAGTAAAACAAAACGCAGACCACCCAAGTTGAATGTATATGTGATTGTGGCCAGAGCGTCCTTATTGGTCGAGGAGCAGTTAACAGCCTGCATCGAGATTAGTGTTGTTTGTAACGCCGCGTCTTCATCGAGATGGACCATCATCAAAGAGATAAATCGGCTTATCTCCGCCGCGTCGTCGCTCCGCTTTGCCATTTCACACCTTACATTGTGACCGAAAACACACAATTAAACACACATTTGATAACATAGTTGTTATACTTAGTTACTTATAGAGATGCAGAAAAAATTACAATCAACGTTTATTCGGAGCTGGGTGTTAGAACAATCGGAGGAAGCGCTCGGCAAAGCGCCACCGTGTAATTACCCGGACACTCGAAATAACACACAAAAAATCGCTTTATTAAAAGCCAAGTAATTTCGACATGGAAACCGGCCATTACGACATACATATCCGGCAAGTTATCATTATTTTGTCACCTAACTGTGCGTGCAGTCGTAAGTACCTATTTGACTTCGTGTAGAGTGAATATGAAAATTATGCGTTGCGGTATAAGTATTGCATATGGTCTTACGGGCTCTCGGGTAGAGTCGACGGCTCGCACTGAAAGTCGAAACGTGCTGAAACCAATCGTTGTACATAAATAATGCTTTTATGGACGCTTGATTTGCATGTTTGCTTATAGATCCGATAGAGTGCGAAACGAATTTTGCTTGTAGCAGTGTTGTTAACAAGAAAAAGTCCATTTTTGTGTGGTTCTGCAGTAAATGTTTTCACGTTTATGACTATTGTTCCATTACTGTGTGGTGCTGGTTATAACTTTTTGAAAACACACTAAAACAACCTTTTCTCGATAATTGGGAGCACTTAATTTAATTTTCTCGGCTACTTTGTTGCTTTGGTTTTGTCCGCATCATGCAATCACTAAATTGCATAATTTTCCCTGCATTGAAAAAAGTAAAAGGCAGCGGCCATACGTTATGTCCTTTGTCAGGATGAAGCAGTCAAGACCCACCCTAATAAATAATTCATAACCAACCCGAGTGCCTAATCTGCATGCAAATATGGCGTTCTTGCATTACTCTTATCTCCCGTTCCTAACGCAGAGCGGTGTCAAAAATAAGCACCGGCCATTTTCATAATTATATAGCCCGGTTAGATCCTAGTTTCAGATTCGGGCGACTTTCGCAGGTAGGTTACGTAAGACGTAAGAAGTGTGTCGCAGGAACGTCTTGTTGACTTGCAGAGGACAAAAAAGGAATATTTAATATATTGCGGACGTTCGAGCGATAAATGGAAAGCTCTCATTGCGATCAGGTGCCCGACGACGTCGTAATTAAAAAGAGATCTTCGGGTGATAATACGTAGGTACATACACGACATGGGAAGAATCAAAAATCAGCAACCAGAAAATAACTTGTTATGGAAATGTTTGTTTAACAAAATACATTTTTTAGAGAAGTGAAACAATATATCTACTATAAAAGTACTTTATTCCACGATACATCAAAGAATATGCTTAGATGAATTCACTGTTACCATCATTCCATTGAATTAAATATGCGCAATAACTTTTGAAAAAATTAGTATTCATATTTTTTGAAGAGAAATAATTAAACTTTGAATGCAGATCACAACTATAGGTAATAATTACACATCAGGTCTGTGATGAAAAACCTGTCGTAAAATAAACAGATGAATTTGATCGATTTTCACATGCTAATTACCATAAAACTACTTAAAAAATTCCATCACGTAGTTAAAAAAAAACAAAAGAAAATTTCATGTAAGTACTATGTTATCAAGTTGCAAAAATACGATAGTAGATTTTTGGGGGTTTGAAATGGAATAATGTATTTGAAGTGCACTGTAGGCAGGCGCGGATCCAGGGGGGGACACACGACCGAGGTACTTTATTTTGACCAATTTCAAAATTTTGAAATCATATTTCATTTTTTAAATACAGTATAACCTCTATAATCCGAATTCACGATTGTCTCAACATCCAGTAATCCGAACAGAGGCTATTTGAAGTCGATGCCTCTTTAATCCGAACAAAAACTCTGCAATCCGATCTGAACTTGATCTACTTCCAAAAATGACGCAAGATCTTTCTGCATATGTTGTATGGAATATTTTGAAATTTTTAAAAATTGCGGTATTTCAAAGCACTGAATTAATTAACTAATTCTGGAAAAACGGTTGAAGCTATCGGAGACCCGAAATCTACAAAGAGAAAGTATTTTGTTAAATTTCGAAAATCGTCGAAAACGATTCTGGAAAAATGGTTTAAGTTATCGAAGAAATGAAGCCAGAAGTGACTTCTGAGGTCCAAAATCTACAAGAAAATATAGTTACCTAGTTAAATTTCGAAAATCGTCGAGAATGGGTCGAAATTTGCATAATGGAGGTAATACAACATTTCATTTTTCAAAAATTCATCTAAAAATTCTGAAAAATTTCAGGGTATAGATCCTGGGGTGTTTATTGCAAAAGATAGCGGGTTTATGGTCACGGAGTAATATTTTTTAGAATGAATCTATTATCCATTGTTGCTTAAGAATTCTTTAATTTTTGTTTAATAAAACTTAGGTTTATTTCTTGAAGTTTGTTTTCAGTTGTGTATGAAGTTGTTATTCAATTCCCTTTTTGGGAAAATTGCTGATCCGAACAAATCGTTAATCAGAACACACCTTTTTTCCATTTAATTAGGATTATCGAGGTTCTACTATACACTCTACGTGTAATCAAAAGAACCAAATGTCACCCATGTTATGTGAAAAAGAGTTCCTGTATCCGCGCCGGACTGTAGGGTGACCGTCAGATGATTGAGGAAGTCAGAAAGGAAGAAATAGTGTCAAATTTAAGTAATAACGATGAGTACCTACGACACAAAGTTCACGAGAAAAAGATTAAACATAACTTTTGAAGAGAAATGACAACGAATTCACAAAGATTTTTAATAAGTAGACAACAGTATTTTTGTTAATATATACCTACATAAAAAATGCAGATACAAAATAAATACTTATCTAATTTTTCTTTATTTTGTTCATATTACTTAAATTTTAGATTTTTGTATTATTTCCCAAATATCTAAACCTTACGAGATAGAAAAAATTAAGTTCATATTCGTAATTAATTGGGAATACAACAAATACCTAGGCAGTTGTTAAAACAAACAGGTTTTTGACATTTACATTTTGCAGGCCTGGGTTTTTATTGTAAGTAAGTATTCAGTGCTAGTTCAAATTTAAAAAAATTATATTTAGACTGAGAAATATTTCTAGATTCATAGATGGCCGCTTTAAAGTAACATATATATAATTATATATATATTAATTGGTAAACTGTACACTAACAACTTTGTTTGAATTTCTTCGGGTTTTCGTTATGAATCTATCAGTGGCGGCGTAGCGTGTTTTGGCATCAAGGCGGGTTTTCTATCAAACAACACCCCCCCCCCCCATATAATAAAACAACAAACACTAAACGTGATTATGGGTCTTTATTTTGGCAAAATATTCTATGACGTTATCAAAATTTACGTTCCTCTCTTTTTCAATTGATAAAATGGAAAGAATAGCCCCAGTTTCCGATGAATCTGAAAAGCTCCAATGCAGTCCACTGAACTGTCCTCTGACGAAAATTCATTGTAGATTTAGATTTTTGCCAGATTTGGAATAAAATATTCCATAATCCTTTTTTTGATGACGTTAGCAGTGAGATTTATAAACTTACTGTTGGAGTTGATGTTCCCGCTGACGTTGCCAAGTTGGGGTTCATAGTAACTTTGATGTTCAATTTTTGTCGTTTTTAAAGGTGTTGTCGAAGAAAAGTGGAGGATTTAAGTTGATTATTACAAAAATTTAGTATTTTAGATGTTTTAAGTTTTTTGTTGTCGAAATAAGTCTACACATACTAAGAAAAAAGGCAATATGTAGCCCCGCCCACCCGCCCTATTTCAGTTGTGATGATATTTTTATTCGGCGTGAGCCAAGGGGAGGACCTTAATTGCAAAATCCTTATTTCTCTATAAGAAGTAAAAAACATGTTTATGAGTATCGTGTCGTTCAAAGAATATTAAGAAAAAACCAAGCCAAAAATTAAGCTCCACCCATATCCATCCCGAGCTCAATTGTGATGAATTTTTCATTCGTTGTCAGACCGAGGGGTGGAGCTTAATTGAAAAATCAATACTTTAATAAAAAAAATTTAAACATATTTCACCTTTCTCGTTGTGAAAAGAAGACCAGCCATATTAAGAAAAAATGGCAAAATGTAAGCCCTTGTAGTTACAATACCTAATCTATTTTTGAGACGAATAGCAATGAATCTTGTCGATTTAAACGTCGATAACTAGGTATCTATCTTTAACAACGCATAAGCACTGTTAGAAAGCTACAGTGTAGAAAATGATGGCAGCTATTTAAAATATGAGAGTTTCGGTGAACAGGTGATTAAATGGCTTAATATTAGTGGACCTCATTATCTCAAGTTTTTGCAATTTGATTGGCGGATCACCCCCCCCCCCCCTTTACGCGCCACTGGATTCTATGGCTGTTCCTAAGCTATTTTTTATTAGAGAAAACAAGTAAGTATGTAATTTTATCAATTTTATGTGGGATTTTTATCTCTATTTAAGCATTAATCAACATGAAAATATCATGTGCCATCATTTAACTAAAGTTAAATCAGTACAGATGATGCACTTTTCTAAGCTCTCATTCAGATGTTCGAAATTGATCTGATAAAATCACAAAACCCATGGGAATAAAGTTTTAGCTGCTTGAAAAATATATAAATTATATTTTTTGTTCTACGGTAATAAAGTCTACTGGCCATAAAAATCTGAATTTAGTAGTAATTTTTTTCGAGAGAGATGTTCAAATGAATATGAAATTATCTTTTTCTTTTTTAGTCAATTCGCATTTTAGTTAATTTTTTTCAAAGCAATTAAAATCATCAAAATCAACGAAAAGTTAAAGGAAAGATTCTCCGTTGTAGAAAGTTTGAAAGTAAGTTTTAATAATAGGTATCTAATTTAGAAAAAATAAATTAAGTAAATAATAATAATAATCCTTTATTGCCCAACAGGTATAACCCCAATAACAGGACAAAATAAAAAAAGTAGAGACAAAATACAATGGAGTAAGAATGCGTTAGTGAGATTTTTGTTGAAAGTATAATTAAATTGACCTCTCATGAATGTGTTCTCACCTTTTATGGTAGAAGATAAATTACTTCCAAAATACTGCGACCTTTTTGACTGTCAGTGGTGGTAAGCGATTTTCGCTGGAATAAGCATTTTATTTAACATTACCCAAAAATGGATTAAAATGGAAACTCAGTTAATCTATACTCAGTTTTCTTTTTCGTTTCAAATAAAACACAATTTTTAGTTGTGAAGTATCTAATGGCAATTGTCTAATCAAAAATAGATAAAAAAGTCACATATTTTTACGTCAAGGGCGGCATTATTACTTTACACATCATCATGTTCAAGTGCGTTTTTAATGGATGGCCTTTTGTGGTGTTCCTCGGATTAAGTGCAAGCAATAGTCGGCCATCATATTCTCAGCTCACCTGCCTTGATTTTTTTTGTGTATGTTATATCTGGGTGGAGTGTAGACCTTGTTCTTCATTAAGCTGAGAATTTTTTGGAAATTATGCAATTTCATAGACATTTCACAGCAATATTAAATGAATAAAGTAAATTTGGGAATTTAGAATCTACCGGAAAATTCCTCCTTTATTTTTTCCTCCGATAGCACAGGAAAGCGGCAGCCATTTTGTATCTTAATTCCTATACTTAAATGTTTAATATTTTTTTGGAACGTGGCATAATTTCTAAAAATGCATAATTTCTTTGAGAGAACTCATTGAAATTGAGCCCAACTCTTACATTAACATTGCAATCACACAATTAATGGATTTTTTTCAAAATTTATGGAGGCTAGACATTCCAAAATCGAGATGAGTGTCCCCTTGTAACATTTCCTTCGCGTTTCATATAATCAAATATTTTTAAGTAAAGTATGGTGAGCAAAAGAATTAAAAACAGCTGTCGACGATTATATCAAAATGACACGCAGGTGAAACACGAAATGAAGGAATCAAAATGTTTTATAAAAAACAACAGTTAGAAAAAAAAAATGGAGAAATGTTCTTTAGAGTCAGAAGAATCAGGATTTGGCCTGATAATCAATCACAAATGCCAGAAAACTGGTGTTTAGATCTAGAGTAAAAAATTTTAATAAGTATCGTAGTTTAGCGGGAAAAATAGAAGGTATAGTGGCACATATTTATACGAATTATTAAAAAATTTGGGTGGTTTATGGCACTCTTAAAGAGACAGAGCAACTTGTAAAGTTTTTGAAAGTATGACGACTATACTAATTTTACTGTATTTCTGTAAATTACTTGAAGCATTTGCAAAATTTCTGAATTTGAAGTTAAACAAACTGTGAGTCACCAAAATGCTAGGGTTTCCAAGATTTTCCAGAGCATTTCTCAGAGAAAACACACAGTTGTCCAAAGTTCTTTCATATTCTTCCAAAAGGTTCTTTCAATCGACCCGAAGATTTTAGGCGTATAAAAAGAAAAAAACCCATTGCCACTGCAATCATCAAACGACAGCAGCATCCAATAAAAAATCCAATTTCGCAATTATCGCCGCCGCTAATTCAATATTTACCCATAAAGCGATTTTTCCCCTCGGCCGAGTCCTCCGGTTCTCCTCCAACCTCGTGCATGACCCCGTCCATCCTTAATAGCTCTCAGCGGCACACCGAAGCAGGTGATTAACAGATGTCTAAAAAATAATAATGTGTTTAGTGTTGTGCGGCGGCAGCAGGGGTTCAAGATCGGCCATTGGTGGAACGGCGTGGGGCCGGGGCCCGGGGCCCGCCCAACCCTCACCAAAACGACACGCACGTCTCGACCGAGAACACCATGTGTGGCATATGACTTTGCCATGGAGGAGAAAAACGTACGTTCCGAGGCGCACAAACCGAATTGTGCCTTTATTAAATTGCCAAACGACTTTTGCGAAACGTGACGACAACTAGCACGTTTGTGGCGGCTTTTGCGGCGGCGGGCGGCGGCGGGGTCGGAGGCAGGGAGCAGCGGAGCTCCGACGGGGAAATTCGTTCGGGGCTTATGTTCTTGTGTATAATTTATGTAGATGAGTGTTAATTATGTAATTATTGGCTGTTTCGGGTTTGCGGTTGAATTTTTTGCGAAGCTGTAATAAATCCGCCGGATTTTTTGGCTACCGGTGGCTCGAAAATAGCCCAGATTGGTTTGTAGTTTTTTCTGGCTTATTATGCAACTAAACTACGATAATTAATTTGCTACATTGTGGAAGAATGTTGTGTTTGACGTAGTATGTATAGGTACGACATACTAGGTGCATGCGGGGGTCGTGTACTAAATTCTAGGAAAAAAAATGTCTCTTAAGCAGCCTATTAAAAGTCATCGCGTTGTATATAATAAAATAAAGTCCGCCAACCCGCACCACGGGGGGCAATAGTCACATGGGGTCTACTCGGACTAGGGTTTAAAATTAAATTAAATTCTTGGTTTCTAGGATGAAAAGAAAAATCATTAATAAAAGTAACGAGGTTTTGAAGCAAATATAGAAATAGAAATTAATTAACAAAGTAGAAATCATTAAATTTTGGTTGAATAAAAATGACAAAAATTCTGCAAAAAGGAAAGCAACAAAGTTATTAAAGTTCATTTTGTTGTAAAATAGTGAAACATTTAGAGAATGTATCAAATAAAAAAAATAATTGGTAAACAGAATTTTATATTTATATATTTTATACATTAGATAAAAAATGGTTTAAATAAAGAACAGTTACTCCAAAAAATTCAAACATTTCTCCTTATGTTTGTGTAAATATGTAAGTAGGTATTTTAATTTTACCAATATTTTTTCTTTTTTCTTTGCGAATTATTAGAGGAATGGAGTGGAATTTCAAGACGAAGATAATTACAATGAGGTAGATATGATGTATGGAGGTATATAAGAGTTGGTTAAAGTTGATTATTTTCTTCATTTAAGGTTTTATTTCCTTTTAGGTTCCATTGTTTTTTCAATTTTGAATGGTTTTTAAGCATACTACTGCTAGAACACTTTCACGCTAGGCAAAATTTACGTCTTCGTCCACTCCAAGCAATTGGTGACGTCATTTCAGAACAGTGCTAAGTAATTAGTTAATTTCACTTATTTCAAGAATAACTTTTTGAACAGCACTTTTTAGCCTGTTTACTTCCCAATCCAAAATAAAAAATGAGTCATCGTTTAAAGATAGTAGAAAAAATATTGGAGATCATTGTGAATGAAAGTTTGAAAAAATCAATTTTCCTTATTCTCTTGTTAAACAAAATCTGAATAACGCTCTAATTTTATTAGTTTTCGTTGCTGGTTTTAAACTCATTCCATAAGTAGTTTAAATATTGGACAAAATAATTCTTGCAATTTTTTAAATACGTAATTTTTAAAATTGTATAATTCTTGGAATAATTTACAAAACAAAGAAGTAATGAAATATAGTGTTAAATTAAACTAGCTAAGACTCTGTTAATAAAACAGTATAATCTACTCACTTTGCAATAAAAGCCTTGTACTTTGTCGAAACATTTTATGTGTCAAAAAAAATATTTTTTTTGTTTTTATGGTCTCGTTTTAATTTTATTATTTGTGGTGATTTTGCTGCCCACAATTTCTCCACAACTTGTTCAAAACAATCTAAAATCAAAGTAAGAACACAGGAAATTAATGATAGTATGAAAAATTAATAAAAATTAAAATTTCCTGACTGAATGTTACTATATCGTTTCAAAGGTTATAATGTTTGAAAAATTGCAATACCTACTGAATTTGAGCCAACTAAATTTTTCATCAAAATTATACTTAATAAAAAAGAAAAAAATGATGCACTTGACGAACTATGTTCATAAAATTTTATAGTTTCTTTGCGAGTTCATAAAATATTTTATTTTAAAACATCACATAATTAACACATACAGGGTTTCTATAAATGATTATAGGGTCGAAGTAGGTCATGAAAACTTGCCTCCTCTAAGATTTGCACTTTACCAAATGCCCAAGGGTGCATGACAAAGACCACATGCATCTATATAACTGGTTGCCTAAATGTTTCATATCTTATTAAAAAATGTATCTAACTGATTCATTACAATAAAAAGAAACAAATTTATTGCAGTTACACATTACAGTAAATGTTGAAAATGTTCACCATTTTGTTCAAGGCACTTGTTCACTCTCTTTTTAATTTAAAAAATATTCTGTAATCCTTTCGTCAATACCCATTTTTCAGTTTCATGTTGCAATAGGAACTCCTGTCTGGTGAGGAAATTTTGTCAAAGATGTGTGCGGATTCTGTACATGTCGTCTTAAATCATCAACAATTTTCTCAGATACCTACTGCAGGTCTTCCAGGAGACTGATCAGATCTCTAATGTGAAAATCTTCGTGGTTGTCAACCATAGTAACCATGCTAAGCAGGAAATAATCATTTCAAAAGAATATTAATCGTTTGAAAATAAAATATTGTATTTCACTCGGATTTTAAGTGAATTTATGTGACTTGTATGGACTTAATTAATTAATCGTCCATACTCCGTCACATAAACTCATAATAAAATAAATATCTAGGAGTATTCAATATTGAGACAAGAAACGTTGGCATTTCTAGTTTCTTCTGTTGAGGGTGTTAGAATTGACATTTCTAAAAAACGGTTCATTTAATTTCCCCGAAATTGTAAAAATGATTAAAAAAAGATAAATCTTTAAGTAAATAGCCATGATATAGGTACTCTTCACACTGTTATGTTTCAGAGGCGAAGAAAATTTCGTGGATATAAATTATTTTACAGACTTTATTGTCCAGCGATTATTAAAAAGTAGGATGCCAAAGAAATTTGTAAAATGTTTGCGAAACGCATGTTTCAACATTTAGGTATTACGTTTTTCATTGATAATTTCACAAATCAAAATAAAGTCCTCTCGGGTCCTCCTAGGTTGTTCAATTTTCAAAGCTCAATGTAACGCATTCTTCATCTTCGATAATTCTCTAACACACTCTTATTGTTAAATTTTGCAATAACATTAGGAAACCAAGATTAGCATTCTCTCCAACAGTTTTGATAGCCGAGTTAAGTAACATCAAAAATTAAACAGCAAAAATACCAGCCAAATGTCGAAACTAACATCAGAAGAACTCTTTCGTGCCTGCGGTTTTGGCCGATAAAGCTATTCCGATTCCTTATTACAACGCGGCGGCGGCGGCGGGGCGCACTCGGAATGAGTTATTGCCGCAACGCCGAAGCACGACTACGAACTTGAAATATTACTAAATTATGCCGAAAAAATTAACTCGTTAGTCTATTTTATTCGGCCGATCCCTTCAAGTTATTTTTATAATTTTGAAATGAAATCTTTCAAATTAAATTTTTCCTGTTCCTGCAGGTGACGCCGGCCATTTCGGTTACCCGTCGGTGGTTGCTGCTGGAACCATGATCTCAGAACGTATCCGCTTACTAACCAAGCCTATTATTTTAGAAAACCTCTAGGAGAAAGAGAAGGATAATTGGCTAATTTATTTTTTGTTTGGAGGAAGACGCAGGTGTCTTTATGATATACATAAATTAAAATATCAGTGTGATCAAAATATTAAAAGGCACTTTAAGTGATAATTTTGTTATGCGTTTTACCAAACCTGTAATTAATAAGTAGGCAACGAAGAGTTGGTCGATGATGAAAAAGGTAAAAGACGACTGCTGATAGCATCTGAACAGGTTGTTACGCTAAATGAAATCGAAAAAGGAAATTTTCTTTTTGCGTATACACCTACGGGGTTTCAGGATGTGATTTATAATGTAATGTATTCATTATTCGAACAACTTTGCCAGCACGGCCACGGAGAAAATGAAGTGATGTTGTAATTGGTTTCCATAATTTGATGCTCACAGTTCTTACATTATTTATGCCCATTTGCACCAACGTTTAAGTCAGATACTTAAAATTTAAGCGGTTCTTAAAACTAAGAATGTGTTGCACCAACGGTTAACTCTCTCTTAAAGCCTTCTAAGAAATCCTTAATTTAAGTGCCCGTTTACCTGTGGCTTAAATTTGTAAGCAGTGCTTAACGAGACACAACGATACAACGCATGTGCGGTAGCCATAGTAACGGAACAATACTTCGTTTCTATTGGATGATGGTTTTGGAAATCGAAAATTTGCAATTTTGCAATCATTTCAGCCATTTCAACCTTTCAACAGTAGCAGCGTTCGTGAGTGTTTTGTAATCAGCGGTGAAAAGTGTGGAATAAAGTTCTAACAAGACAAAAAATAATATAAAGAAGGTATGTACCACAATTACAACGTTTTGTTGTAAAGAATTATGTACATATGTTTTATTTTCAGATGAATAGTACAAAGCGCCAGAGGGGAGCAAATTTTACGGCAGATGAAAAGACCTTTGTCTTAACATTAATCAGTGAACAGCGTCATATTATAGAAAATAAAAAAACGGACGCTGTTACAAATAAGGAGAAGCAGCGGTGCTGGGAAGAACTAACGAATAAATTTAATTCATGTAGTCCTAGCGGTGCCATGAGGAGTGTAACCTCATTACAAAAATTTTACACAAATAAAAAAAAAGAAGTGCGAAAAGAAGTGGCCGATAAAAAAGTGTTTATGCGAAAAACAGGAGGTGGTCCTTCATCTTCAAAATGTGAGGATCCATACCTGCAGCTAACGTTAGCCACCATGGATGAGAATTCAGTGTATGGACTGGAAACTCAATACGGCGGGGATAGTGAATTATTTGTAAGTTGAACAGCATCATAAAAATTGGTCTTATTTTTTTTTTTTATAGCAAACTATAGGTGAAGAAGATAACGAAGACCATG